GGGTCTCTGTCGCCCAGGCTGGAGTGCAATGGGTGTGATCATGGCTCACTGCAGTCTCAACTTCAAGGGCTCACATGATCCTCCTGCCTCAGCTTCCCAAGTAGCTAGGATAAGAGGTGTGCATCACCATGCATAGCTAACTTTTAAAGATTTTTAGTAGAGATGAGGTTTTGCTGTGTTGCCCAGGCTGGTCTTGAACTCCTGAGCTCAGTGATCCTCACTCCTTGGCCTCCCAGAGTGCTAGGAATACAGGCATGAGCCACTGTGCCCAGCCTGGTATATTAATTTTTTTAAATGGGATGTTATAGTGAACAAAACCAACAAGAATTCTATCCTCATGGCGCTTACAGTCTGGCAGGGAAGACAAACACAGAGTGAGCAAACACAAGTGTGAACTGAGGGTGTGTTAGGAAGGAGGTCTCAACTTGAGTCAGTAGAAGGAGTCTTTGTGGGGGTGACGTCAAGTGGAGGTACTGTCATTTTATCACATTTTAACAGGGACACTTCCAGTCGTATGGCCCCTGGACACTGACACAACTTTTCCAGGCCTTTTTCTTTTGATACCTTCCTTCTCATTAGAATCTCCTGGGCCAGTCCAGTGTCTTGACACAGTGGCTGAACCCATAAAAATGGGAAACCCTTGTTTCACCTCCAAAAAGGGTTTTAGAGGAAGAGGCGGGGGAAAGGAGACTTGGCTGGAATGGGGGAGAGTTCACAGGGGTGAGGCGGCAGGGCAACAGGCCCAGGGTTACAGCCCCAAGGACCGCCCCCGCACATGCCCGAGGCAGCTGTGGACGGGGCTCTCCAGAGGGCTGGGGAATTATCACAGTCACAGCCGAGGCTGGGAAGGGAGCCAGGGCTGCAGCTCCTGCTCCGCTCTGCAGTCCGCCCCTCCAGCGCCGCCCAGCCCCGCCGCCTTAACTGTTCCTCTGGCTGCGGGTGCCTCGGCTCAGCCACCCCCACGCCGCCGTTAGCTGACTGACTCTGGATCCAGTGAGCATCTCCCGTGTGCTCGCAGCCCAGGGGCCCCTGGGGATGCTTGGGCCGCCTGCGTCTGTCATGTCCCCTGCCTGGTCCTCTGGCTCCCAGGCCTAATACGAGGGTGGCCGATTCCCTGGAGGGAGGAAATGGAACCTGGATCTGGGGCTTCTCCACTCTGGCTGCACTTGACAACGACTTGAGGCCTTTTAGAAAGGTACGAGCACCCTCCACCAATTAAGGCACAATTTTCCTGAAAATTCCTTGGCATTTTCTCAGCTCACTGGCTATTTTCCTGCAGTGCCTAAGGTGATGAAGAGGGTGAACCAGACTCCTCCTTGGTTGCTCCCCATCCTCTAGGGAACCTTCTAGCTGGCTACTGCCTTAGTGGGAACCCCTTTCTGCTGGGAAAATCCCAGTAGGGATTTGGGATTGGCCAACCCTTTCATCTCCCCCTCCCCCTGAGCTCCCTCCCAACTGAGCCTGAGGGCTGACTAGCGCGCCCAAGGCCACCTCTGAGATCCAGCCTCGTCATCACCATGCGACATCCCTAGGGAGCTTTCCCACCGCGGGAGGTGGCTGCTGACGGGTTCCAGCTGTTGGTGCCAGCCAGGAAGGCCTCCTCCCCACGCTAGACTTGAAAACTTGTCAGGAGCGCCTCCACCTGAACTCCCTTGGCCAGAAACTCAACAGCAGGCAGATTAGACGCCGAGCAGGAGTGGGGAACATGTGTAGAGTGGGAGGGGCAGGGGCTCCAGGGAACTTTCCTGCATTAGGAGCTGGGGAGCTGGCCCCAAAATAAAATTGCCTTGAAAGAAAAGAACAAAGTGTGTTGGCACAGCAAGGCCTTTCTTCCGCTCTGGGGCGTGACGGAGGTCACAGCCCCCTGCTGGGCTGGAGAGGGGGCCGTTCCTCTTCAGTGGGCACAGGAGTGTGCTTTGCCCGGCCTGGCTCGGCCTCCTCTGAGGGCGTTCCATGCAGGCCTGGGCCGTCATCTCCTGGCAGATGAACAAAACCCGAGAGCAAACACATTTCACATTCAGTCTGAATGCTCAGAGGAACCACGTTTTTCTGAGATTACACATTCTTCCGGCATTATGCTCTACTGGAGAACGCAAAACAATCCAGTGCAATGATGCTTTCTTCCCTTTTTACATTTTCGAGGACCACACAGAAGACTCTTGCTAGGTGGTGGTGGAGACCGAGGGCTGCCGTGTCCCTGGCCACGGGTGGGATGCTCAGGAATGGGTTGGCCGAAGTGGGGGTTGCCTACCTTCTTACTCAGCCCTCAGGGCCTTCTGGAACATCTCCAGGTGGGACTGCTTCCTCAAACGTAAGGCATCACCCGAGAGAAGGGCTGTTCGTGTGGGGTGCAGGGAGGACACTTGAGTTCAGCGGCCCTGCCCCTTCCAGGCTGTTTGAACTTGGACAAGTCACTTAACCCCATGAGCCTCTGTTTTCTCACTTGTGAAAAGGGGAGAATGTATAGTAGGGCCTTGCTGGAGGTGGACAAGAATGAGAGAAGGAAGAGCCCGGAAGGAAGGTCTTGTCCCCTCCTCATCCCCCCAACCCCCTGAGCAGCCCTTGTTTTTCCATTTTACTATCAGGCTTCCTCTTCAGTTTTCCTTGGAAAAGGCTGTCTGGAGCTTTCTAATATCTGCATGCCTGGCCGCCACCCCAGACCCCTTAAATCGGAACCTCTGAGGGTGAGACCCAGGCATGGGTATTTTTTTCACAGTTTCTGGAGTGATTCTGATGGCTCAAGCTAAGAACCACTGCCTGAAAGACCAAGGCAAACAGGCCAGGCATGGTGGCTCATGCCTGTAATCCCAGCACTTGGAGGCTGAGGTTGGGGGATCACTTAAGGCCATGGGCTCGTGACCAGCCTGGGCAGCATAATGAGACCCTAACTCTTAATAAAATAAAAAATTGGCCGGGCACGGTGGCTCACACCTGTAATCCCAGCACTTTGGGGGGGCCAAGGTGGGTGGATCACCTCAGGTCAGGAGTTCAAGACCAGTCCAGCCAACATGGTGAAACCCTGTCTCTACTAAAAATACAAAAAATAGCCGGGCATGGTGGCAGGTGCCTGTAATCCCCACTACTTGGGAGGCTGAGTCAGGAGAATCACTTGAACCCGGGAGTCAGAGGTTGCAGTGAGCCGAGATCGCACCATTGCACTCCAGCCTGGGCAACAAGAGTGAAACTCCATCTCAAATAAATACATAAATAAATAAATAAAATTACCCAGGCATGGTGGCTGTAATCTCAGCATTTTGGGAGGCCAAGGTGGGAGGATTGCTTGAGCCCAGGAGTTTGAGGTTGCAGTGAACCATGATCGTACCACTGCACTCCAGCCTGGGCGACCACGTGATATCTATCTCTACAAAACAAAAAACGCAAGAAAAACCAAAGGAAACAGGGACAGTGGAAGGTGTGCTAGGAAGTCTAATGGGCTTGGCGGGTCCTGGCTGTCAGCAGGGCCCTCTTGGGATTCTGCAGGGTGCCTGGCCAGTCCCAGCGGGGTGGATCCTAGACCCAGGGTGTAATTGTCAGGGTGTGGCCCTCAGGGAGGATGTCAAAGGTCCATCATGTGTCAAAGGTCCAGCACATGATTTGTGCTTTCCTTAGGGAGGTAACTTTGAAGTCCACCTGCCATAGGGCTGGTGCTTGGGAGGGAATAGATTTGCTGGGTAACCCTCCTGCTGCTGTTGTCCCGCCTCCCCCATGGGCAGTTCTCAGCAACCCTGAAAAAGTGACACTCAGCCTGTTGCTTTCTGGGAATTGGCTCAAGAAGAAGGCCAGCTGCTGGTGCTGGTGTAAGAAATGAAGAGGAGCTGAAGAGTTTCAAGAGATGATTTCCAAGGCAGGAAATTGCAATTGGGCTGAAGAAGGGAGGCCCCATCCTGTGTGGCTGTGGTTTTTGCCTGTGCTGTGAACAGGGGCCGCTGTGGGGGCTGAACTCCTGGTTCCATCCCTGGTGAGCCCAGGGCTGCGGGGCTGTCGAAGTCTGTTGTGGGCCCAGGCCCAGCCCTGAGTCTGGAGGACTTTCCAGCTCACTGCAAAGCTCTCTGTGTGATATCTCAGGGCATGAGGGAATGTGCACTGTCAATAGGGCTTTTTGAGAGCTTCCAATTCTGCTTCCTGATTTCTGTCACTGACAGTATGAACCAGGGCATCTTTGTACAAAAGCAAACACAAATAGTGTGAGCTGCCATCTCCAAAAGCTGGTGGCCACCTTTGCTAGTATCGGGGAAGTGCAGCAGTAAACACACACACATGATGGAGAGCAGGGCGCCAGGGATGTTTCTTTTTCTTTTTTTTGAGACAGTCTTGCTCTGTCACCCAGGCTGTAGTGCAGTGGAATGATCTTGGCTCACCACACCCTCCGCCTTCTGGATTCAAACAATTCTCGTGCCTCAGCCATAGCTGGGACTACAGGCACACGCCACCACGCCTGGCTAATTTTTGTATTTTTTGTAGAGACAGGGTTTTACCATGTTGGCCAGGCTGGTCTCGAACTCCTGGCCTCAAGTGATCTGCCCGCCTCGGCCTCCCAAAGTGCTGGGAGTACAGGCATGAGCCACCGTGCCCGGCCAGGAATATTTCTTTAAAACACAAAACAAAACAATCACTAGTGACACCTGAAACAAGTCCCCACAAACTGTGAATTGTAGAACAGATGACTGGTGATACAAAAGCTCAGTTTGGGGGCTGAAAATTGTCCTTCTCAAATGGGAGTTTTGGTGGAGATTTTCTAAGCTGTGTGTTCCCCTTGCTGGGAAACAGGGGTGCTCAGGGCAGGTGGAGGATCGGAGAGCCCCTGCCTTCCTGAGGCTGATCTGAGTTAGGCTGAACCCCCCACAGCCAGATCTGAACTGAGGAGACTAACATCCCCTCTGGGCCAACCTGGAGAGCAGGCAGGGTCCTGTGTGCCCTGAATCCTCTTTATTTGGGTCTAGCACTGGAAGATGCTTGTAATGGCAGCCAATAAAGAGAGATGCCATCCCTTGTGTCCACAGGTATCGAGTGAACTTCAGACCTAGGTATGTCACTAGGTATAAGACAGTGACGCAGTTGGAATGGAGGTGCTGTCCTGGCTTTAGAGGGGGAGATTGCCAAGAAGGTCCCAAAGAGCCCGTGAAGACCCTCCAACCCACGCCCGCTCGGCCTCGAAACAGCTTGAAGAAAGCCACAGGTAACTTCTTATTTGTGATGTTACGTATGGCCACCTTGAATATTTCCGGTGCTCCTTCAAACAACGGGATTTGTGCTTTACAGTGGTGAACATTGAATGGCCTACAAATAACACACATAGATGCCTGCAGTAGCCACACATGACAAATTTATTCGTAGAAGCAGTAGCAATTGTAAGACAAACTTCCTTGCAAGTAAATTGCTTTGCTAGGGCCAGCTTGTTGTGAAAGCCAGTGCCTTAAAAATCAGGGTAGGAAATGCCAGTGGGTTCAGACTTGTGTCACCTGGAGGCACAGTGTAAAGAGATTCAGATGTAATGATGTACTGTTTGTTTTTACTTGAGTCCATACATCTGAATTTAAGGGGGTTAAAATTGTTTTTTATTTTTTATTTTTATTTTTTGAGATGGAGTCTCGCTGTGTCACCCAGGCTGGAGGGCAGTGGCACAATCTCGGCTCACTGCAACCTCTGCCTACCTGGTTCAAGCAATTCTCCTGCCTCAGCCTCTAAGTAGCTGGGATTACAGGCGCCTGCCACCACACCCGGCTAATTTTTGTACTTTTGGTAGAGACGGGGTTTCGCCATGTTGGCCAGGTTGGTTTCAAACTCCTGACCTCAGGTGATCTGCCCATCTCGGCCTCCCAAAGTGCTGGGATTACAGGTGTGAGCCACCATGCCTGGCCATCACTTCATCTTTTTAAGTTCAGTCACAATAAATGCAGCATAGTTTTCTTATGAAATTAGATGCTTAAATGATATTTTGCCATGAGGTGTTCTCAATTTTGAAACTTGTAGTGCTTCCCAACGTTGTCTGTAAAAATAGATTTTAAAATGCTTTTTTAACTACAAAAGTAATGCATGTCAATTAAAGAATGTTTATAAAATATAGGAAAAATATTTAAGGATACATAATCTCATGACTAAATGAGAACTACTGTTGACGTTTTGTTATAGAACCTTACTCTCTTTTCTATGTCTGTACATTCATTTTGTTAAAAATTCATTCATCTCACAAATACTTATTGAACTTCTATATCTGTCAAGCTTTATACTGGGTACTTGGAATAAGTGATAAAAAAAGGCAGACATTAGACAGTAATTACAATAATTCATGACAGGTACTGGGATGAGGGAACATGTTATGGGGGCTGGTGGATTGTAATTGTTTATTTTTGTTTTGTTTCATTTTAGTTTTTGTTTGACAGAAGTTTAAGCATATTGTAGTTTAATAAGCTGAACAGCTTTATAAGGATGAATAGGAAAAACAATGATCACCCCCAAACCCTTTTCCCTCATTTTCCCTTCTCAGAGGTAGTACTTTAAACTCTTCAGATGAATCTTTTGGAATTTACCTCCACATCTATTGATTTCTCATTATGGAAGGTGAGAATTTAACTCCCTTTCATCCACTCCTCAACTCATGGGTCCTATACCCCCATCCCTTCCATACAGTTAGACCATATTCTTTCTTTATTCAGTATTCAATGTTTACATTGTAATAACTATGTAGATAATGTTTACAGCTGAGCCATGTGGTGTACCGTGAATAGGTTTTCTTTCCTACACAGCTGTTTGAATCCTTACAGTTAATCATTGTCTTATGTTTTTCCTTTGCTTGGTTTTCTTTTTATTGCTATTTCAACCCAGCTCTTCTCTGGTTCTCTAAATGTCCCCTCCATATGTTCAGACACAGCAGTTTCATCTTCTTGAAGAAATCTCCTTTGAGCCTTCTCACTTGCCCTACCTGGAGGGGACATTCTCTTTTCCTGTAATCACCCGAGGATCTTAACTTACCCCTCTCCTATTGAATTCCCTGTTTCCTGTGTCGCCTACTCCCTCTTTCTTGGTTTATCCCCTTTCTTTGCTTGAGCATGTCCTTTAGTAGCTTCATGAGACAATTACATGGGAAGCAAACTTTTTACCACTTTATAGTATGAAAACTATTTTTTATTCTAGCTTCAGAAATCTAGGTCAGAAATCAGTTTCCTTCAGAATTTTCAAAATAGTGCTCAGTTTTTCTCTAGCTTCCAATATTGCTGTTAAAAAAAAGACCAAAACACTTCTGACTCCCAGTTTTTTGTGTGTGACTTGAATAGGTTTTTTTTCTTGTCTCCCCCCTCCTTTTTTTGTCCTTTTAGTGGGATTTTAGGAAGGAGTAAAAATAAATGCTTATCCTCTGATATATATGTTTGAAAGTTTGTCCCCTCCAAATCTCATGTTGCAATGTGATCTTCACTGTGGGAGGTGGGGCATCATGGGAGGTGTTTGCGTCATGGAGGTTGATCCTTTATGAATGGCTTGATGCCCTCCTTGCAGTAATGAGTGAGTTCTTGCTCTGTTAGTACACATGAGAGCTGGTTGGTTGGAAGAGCCTGGCACCTTCTCCCTTCCCTCTTGCTCCCTGTCTTACCTTGTGACACATTGGCCCCCTCTTCGTCTTCCATCATGAGTAAAAGCTTCCTGAGGTCCTGACCCAAAGCAGATGCTTTTTGTACAGGCTGCAAAACTGTGAGCCAAATAAACCTCTTTTCTTCACAAATTACCCAGTCTCAGATATTCCTTTATTTTAACACAGAATGGACGAACATATCCTGAATTCACTGTCATTATAAAAAACATACTATTTTTGCAACTTTTTCTTTTTTAGAGACAGGGTCTTGCTCTGTAACCCAGGCCGAGTATAGTGGCATGATTATAGCTCACAACCTTGAACTCCTGGATTCAAGTGATCCTCCCACCTCAGTATCCCAAAATGCTGGGGTTACAGGCATGGACCACTGCACTTGACCTGGAACTTATTTTTTACTGAAAAACCTGTAATGGACAATCTTCCATGTCATGAAATACTCTACAATACCACTTAATGGCTTGAGAGAATGTGAGTTATTGAACACCATCCACTACTGTTGGTCACTTAGGTTGTTTGTAATTTTTCACTATTATATATAATGTATGAATATGCATCTTTTCCTATGAAATTTTTGTACTCATTTCTGACTATTTACTAGAATAAATTTATTGAAGTGTAATTGTAGGGTCAAAAGATTCTGAGTATTTTGATATATATTGCCAAATTATCCTTTGAAAAAAATGCAATTTGCACAGTCACCAGTGGCATATGAGCAAAGCATTTCCTTACATCCTCAATCTTTCCCCCTTCGCTGCCCTTTGTTTTGTTTCCTTTGCTTAGAATAGCATTTCCACTTGCATATGATTCAATAACTTGTTTCTTTCTTTAGTGTCTTAAGAGAGAATAAATATTTCAGTAAGGAAAACAAGGTGTTCTTTTTAGTTCTCTACAAAAAGAAAGATTCTTGGGAGTTTGGATATCTGAATTTCAGATTTGGTTTTACTACTAATGATTTTAATAAATAATAGCTACTATTATGAGCTTGTGCAAAAGTTCAGAGGAGGAAAAAACAATGATCATTGAATTCAAATATCTATAGCATTCTAAATGAATTTCCAATGTTTTCCAGTGTAATGTGTTAATGCATTTTATTTAATTGCAACCTATGTTGTGTTTGACTTTTTCTGCTTTATATGATATGTCTCACTATAGTTGCCAGGTTTGTCAGTGTTAACCTCTTTCAGTATTTCTTTTTTTTTTGAGATGGAGTCTTGCTCTGTCGCCCAGGCTGGAGTGCAGTGGTTGGATCTCAGCTCACTGCAAGCTCCGCCTCCCGGGTTCCCGCCATTCTCCTGCCTTGGCCTCCCGAGTAGCTGGGACTACAGGTGCCCGCCACCTTGCCCGGCTAGTTTTTTGTATTTTTAGTAGAGACGGGGTTTCAAGGAGTTAGCCAGGATGGTCTTGATCTCCTGACCTCGTGTTCCGCCCGTCTCGGCCTCCCAAAGTGCTGGGATTACAGGCTTGAGCCACCGCGCCCGGCCAGTATTTCTTTTCTTTCTTTCTTTTTTTTTTTTTTGAGACAGGATCTCTCTCTGTTGCCCAGGCGGGAGTACAGTGGTGCTATCTCGGCTCACTGCAACCTCCACCTCCTGGGTTCAAGCGATTTTTCTGCCTCAAGCTCTCTAGTAGCTGGGATTACAGGCACCCGCCACTACACCTGGCTGATTTTTGTATTTTTAGTAGAGATGGGGTTTCACATGTTGGCCAGGCTGGTCTTGAACTCCTATCCTCAAGCAATCCACCCGCCTCAGCCTCCCAAAATGCTGGGACTACAGGCATGAGCCGTCATGCGCGGGAGCAGTATTTCTTGTATCCTACTGTACTCAGGGCATAGTTTGTTTCTTATTGTCCTATTGCTGCAGGTTTCGATAGTCCCCTTTTTATTTATCTCTATGTCTATCAATTTATCTTTGTTTTATGACTCATCACTATCATTTGCCCCCTTATCATTATTAAAAATTAATAATTTTTTCTTTCTTTTGGATTGTTTCCTTGGTGTTTTCTCAAAATAAGATTACCCAAAATTCAGTGTTTGCATTCTTCTTTTTTTCTTCTTCTTCTTCTTTTTTTTTTTTAAAGATTCAGGGTCTTGCTATATTGCCCAGGATGCCCTTGAACTCCTGGGCTCATGCCATCCTCCTGCCTCCCTAGTAACTGAGACTACAGGCACACACCACCTCCCTGACCAACTTTCAATATTTGTATTCTTTGACTTAGTGAATCTTACTATATATGGTCAGATGGTGCTGTTGTTAGGAGACACTGATGGAATAGTTGCTTTATCTCTATTGTTTTTTGTCTCCCAAACTGCAAGCAGGGCTAAACAATGTCTATGAGACTCTTCGAGCACAGAGATGTTAATAAAAGAGAAAACATTCAGGCACTGCTTTGAGGGTGAGGGTAGCATCAGATGATATGATATCATATGATATCACCATGCAACAGCTAATGAATGGGTGGATCTTGCTAAAGTGACTTCTTGTGGTTTTACTGTATATAGTCAACTCTTGGGGTGTGGCTGCAGTTCGCTAATATGGGAATGAAGTGTTCATATGATAAAGCAGATAATGAATATTTCTCCTCAGGGTGAAAGAGACCATTGGTTATCTAATTGGTGCCATGTACATATTATTTTAACAGCTCTAGGAGGGATTGTACCCCTTCTTTATAGATGAGAGGATTATAGTTCACAGAAGTTAGTTAACTTGCTCAAGGACAAACAGTAAATAGCAGAGCCAGAATGCAAGTAGAGGTCTATTTGACTCCAAAGCCCTCTTTTCTACTGTACCACAGTAGTTACCTACAATTGTGTAGTGACCTATAAGTGAAGGTGTACGTGTATTTTGTAGGAACCCTGTTTATTGTCTTGGCAGAATCTGGCTAAAGGTAGAAAGTGTCCATTCATGTCCAACTTTATCTTTGTAACAGATAACGAACCCAGCCAAGTCTCAGAGCCCAAGAAGACTTTGTCCCCAGCTGGTACAGCACAACCAAGCCGGGCGTTAGATCCAAAAGAGGGGCCCCGGGAACTTCAGGAAAAGAAGATACAGGTGCTAGAGGAGAAGGTTCTCCGACTCACAAGGACGGTTCTTGACCTCCAGTCTTCCCTTGCTGGAGTGAGTGAAAATCTCAAACACGCCACTCAGGATGATGCCAGTAAAACACGGGCACCGGGGCTCAGCAGCCAGCACCCCAAGCCTGACCCCACCATTAGTGGAGACACAGAAACGACCCGGAGTCCTGGCGTCTTCAACACTAAGGAATCTGGCGTGAAGGACATCAAGTCTGAATTGGCTGAAGTCAAAGATACTCTGAAGAACAAAAGTGACAAGCTGGAAGAGCTGGATGGAAAAGTGAAGGGCTACGAAGGGCAGCTCAGACAGCTCCAGGAAGCAGCCCAGGGCCCGACGGTGACCATGACAACCAACGAGCTCTACCAAGCCTATGTGGACAGTAAGATCGACGCCCTGAGAGAGGAGCTCATGGAGGGCATGGACAGAAAGCTGGCTGACCTGAAAAACTCGTGTGAGTACAAGCTCACTGGCCTCCAACAGCAGTGTGACGACTATGGGAGCAGCTACCTGGGAGTGATAGAGCTCATAGGGGAGAAGGAAACAAGCCTGAGAAAAGAAATAAATGACCTCCGAGCCCGGCTACAGAAGCCTTCAGCCCAGGCAAACTGCTGTGACAGTGAAAAGAATGGTGACATTGGTCAACAGATCAAGACGTTGGACCAGAAGATTGAGAGAGTTGCTGAAGCCACCAGAATGCTGAATGGAAGACTGGACAATGAGTTTGACCGCCTTATAGTTCCAGAGCCAGATGTGGATTTTGATGCAAAATGGAACGAACTTGATGCAAGGATCAACGTGACGGAGAAGAACGCTGAAGAACATTGCTTTTACATTGAGGAAACCCTTCGGGGGACCATTAATGGAGAGGTGGGTGATTTGAAGCAGCTTGTTGATCAGAAAATACAGTCTCTGGAAGACCGTCTGGGGGGTGTTCTCCTACACATGGCCAACAACACTGGTGCAGAGCTCAGGCCCCCAGGGGCAGCAGCCCTGCCAGGAGTGTCAGGGCCAGGAGATGAGCGGGTCATGATGGAATTAAACCACCTGAAGGACAAAGTTCAATTTGTTGAAGACATTTGCCTGCAGAACGTCCAGGGAAAGCCTCATGGGATGGAAGGTGCCTTGCCAAACAGGGAAGATCGTGCAGTGCGCGACAACCTGCACCTTTTGAAATCTCTCAACGACACCATGCACAGGAAGTTTCGAGAGACCGAACGAACCATCCAGAAACTTCAACAGGATTTTAATTTTCTTTATTCTCAATTAAACCACACAGAAAATAATGTGGCTCATCTTCAGAAGGAAATGAGCAATTGTAGAGCAGGTGAAAATGCTGGCGTGGGTGGGTTCACTAAGGCCGGTGAGCAAGAAAGGACAGTGGACACCCTGCCGTCCCCCCAGCATCCCATGACTCATTGCTGCAGTCAGCTGGAGGAGAGGTGGCAGAGGTTGCAGAGCCAGCTCCTCTCGGAACTGGACACTTGTAAGGAAAGCATGCAGGGGGTCCAGAGGGAGGTCTCCATGGTGGAGGGCAGGGTGTCTCATATGGAGAAAACTTGCAGCAAGCTGGACTCTATCTCAGGAAATCTTCAGAGGATCAAGGAGGCGCTCAACAAGCATGTCAGCAGCCTGTGGAACTGCGTCAGGCAGATGAACGGAACACTCAGGTCGCATTCCAGAGACATTTCTGGCCTGAAGAATTCAGTCCAGCAATTCTACAGCCACGTCTTCCAGATTTCTACTGATTTGCAAGATCTGGTCAGATTTCAACCATCAGCAAGTAAGTTGAATCTTACAATTCTATTTCTTGTATTTCTTCGCAGCACGCAACAACAGTTTTTAAATAATTTTTTGTTCATTTTTTGATTTTGTTGAAACTTCATCAGGTAAAAATGTGACAGTATTACGCTAGATTTTGGACAGTTCACGGAATGAACTAAAGGCCACCAGTCCTACCCAAATGTGGTTCCTAGATTGGTGCCTGAATTATTTGGTGCTGGGTAGCAATAAGATAAATAGATATTCTCAATGTTAGTATTTAGGAACTTCTAAAATAATTTGACAGGCCGGTCGCAGTGGCTCAGGCCTGTAATCCCAGCACTCTGGGAGGCAAAGGAGGGTGGATCACCTGAGTTCGGGCATTTGAGATCAACCTGGCCAAAATGGTGAAAACCCATCTCTACTAAAAATGCAAAAATTAGCTGGGTGTGGTGGCATGCGCCTGTAGTCCCAGCTAGTAGGGAGCTGAGGTGGGAGAATTGCTTGAACCTGGGAGGCAGAGGTTAAGGTGAGCCGAGATTGCATCACTGCACTCCAGCCTGGGCAACAGAGTGAGGTACCATCTCAAATAAATAAACAAACTAACAACATTGCAGTGTTTAAGCACATGATCTATGTATTTTACAAAAATATCAATTCACAACACATTGAAAATAAAAAAGGAAAATGGTTCTTCCCACAGACGGATGGCAAAACATTATCTATAGAATCAGGTTGGTGAGCTCAGAGTTGGGGTCAGATTTTTGGCATAACAGCTTGGGGCAGTGGATGTTGTCCTCTCTTCTACCTAGGGAGTCTCCTAGGTACCTCTCTTCAAGCATCACTTTTTATCTGTGTCATTATCATCTTCAGGGCTTAGCTGATGGCAGATAGGATGCTGTCGTATTTGTTTCCAGACACGACCGTGGATGAGAGCAGTTTAGGGGCAGGAACTATCTAAAGCTCCATAGTGCCTGGATCCAGGAAGCTCAGCAGTAGTGCTGAGAGCAATGCTAGCTACACCTTAGGCACTCAACAAATGTGTGTTGAATGAATGAATGAATGAATGAATAATATATGCAATAAGATTTTTTTGCTACCTGGGGGTGCTAAACGCAGCCTCCTTGAAGGACAGAACTTCTCTTGTACCTGGGTTTATACTCTGAGACAGCCTCAGACATGAGCCAGACCTCTCTAGTTGGAGTCCGGGTGTGAAAGGAAGGAAGAGGGAGCTGGCGTTTTTGAGCACTTTCTATGTACGGCTCCGGCTTAGTCCCTTCAGGGGGACTGAATTCCATCACGGCCTCACAGAAAGGCTGTTTTCCAACAGTGAAAATGTGCCTGAAGTCATGTGGCTGTTCAGTGGGGGAGCCAGGATGGGAACCAGGCCAGGCTACATCTAAGAATTATTTCCTTCCAGTCCGGCCATGATGACTGTGTGTCTCCCAGAGCTGAGTGCAGACTTACTTGGTCCACGGGGACTTGTTGAGGGGCCTGCTTTGTGCTAGAAGGAGCCTATTTCCTGACCTCCCCGTCCCTGTTCTCTTTTCTCCCTTCCTTGCCTTTGGGACTTTTACCTCCCTGACCTGGTTCTGCTCCGGGTGACACAGGCCCTTGCACAAGGAACTGAGATTTTACGGCCTCTGTGAGCCTTGGGATTTTATGATCAAGTCCCAGATGTGACATAAAACCCAAGGCAGGGTAGGCTAGAACATGGGAAGCAGGCAAGCTCTGGCTTGGCCAGGGAGAGCCAGGGCCAGGTCCTGGCAGCTCAGGAGGGTGGAGAGGGTCCGAGGTAGGTAGGAAAATGCCCTGGATGTCCCCAGAGCACTGTGCTTATCTTGCAGATGAGGAGTCACCTAGGTCCAGGAGGACTAGGAATCTGGCCCCCACCCCAGTGTCCAGCCTGCTGCACCTCACTATTTATAACCCAGCCCTTCCCCCACTCCAGGGCCACACAGCTCCTCTATCTCTGGAATGTTGAGTAGAGGTCACAAGACCATGTATGTGTTCATAGAATGATTGTCCCTTGTGGTGACAACGCTGTCTGGTCTGTGTCTTACGATAACAGATTGAATCAGATATTTCCAGTTGATTTGGAACTCTCTGGTGGCGTGGGAAGCTGTGTTAACATTTTCACATTTGTCTGTTGCAGTAGGAGTTGGGGGTGAATCCTTTTAAAAGAGAATGTGGCTTACAAAACATGATCCCTTTGGACTGAACTCATTGTGGTGAGTGTAGACTGCATGGAGTTTTGAGAAGTTCATTGATTGGAAAAGAGCCAGAAATAAACAAGCAGAGCCTTCTCTGCCCTTGTCTAGCATCCAGGTCTAGGAGACCTGGAACCTAAGTATCAGAGGGACCTGGGAGAATCTGGAACTAAGGTCACCATGAAAGTGACATGTCAATCAGTTAAAAGTCAACAGAATGTTTATTGAGTGCCTACCATATGCAAGGCTCTTGGGGGACCTGGAGATAAGTAGGTATAATCCTTAGTCTAAAGCATTTGCAATCACAGTGGGAAAGAGACTCAGGTCTGCAGAGTGAATGAGATCATAGCGGTTGATCCCTTTAGTTCATAAGGTCTTATTGAGCCCCTATTATGTGGTAGGTAATGGCTGTGTGGGGGAGTATGTGGATAAAAGACAGTCTGATGGGGAAACAAACAGACAGATGGTCACAGGAATGGGGTGTGCATGAGACACCTTGGGTGTTCCGAGAAGCACCCACAGTGGAAGTCAGGGAGGGATTCTCAGGAGAGAGCCCTGAGCTGAGCCCTCAGTGTAGGTATTTACACAGCAGAGTACAGAGGCTGATGAGGTGAGGAATGAGGTGACATGAGAGAAGCTTCCAGGAGGAGGTGTTACTGGATCTGATTGAGGGATGGGTGGGATTCAGAAAGCAGGAGGGGAGGACATTGTGGATTAGCTATTTATTGCTTTATAACAACCCATTCCAAATCTTGCTGGCTTAAAACAACAAAGATGTATTAGTTTCCATTATTCTGTAGGTCAGGAACCCCGGCAGGGCTTGGCTCAGCGGTTCTTCTGCTCTATGTGACATCAACTTGAGTCGCCCACTCAGCTGCATTTGGCTTGCGGTTGACTGGAAGGTCTGTGAAGACTCGGTCATATGTCTGGTGCCTCGGTGCTCCTCCACCTGGCCCCTCTCTCTCCATGTGGCCAGCCGGGGCTTCCTCACAGCATGGCGGTCTCAAGTAGTCAGACTATGGTGACTGTCAAGGGAAGTGGAAGCTGCTGGGCCTCCCACAGGCTAGCCCAGAGCTGGAGCGGTATCACTGCTGCCACATTCTATTGTTAAAGCAGGTCTGCTCTTGAAGGGTGATGTGGCTGGTATGTTTGGGGAAGGAAGGGGGATTAATGGTGGTCATGATATCTACCACAGTGAGCACAGGTCCAGAGGTGAAGATGTATGACAGTTTTGGACCAGTAAGCAGATCGCCAGACCAGGAACACACACTGTGGTGTTTCTACTTAGCCTGTTGCCCTCTTCACAGATCCTGTTTCCTTTGGAAGCATCACTGAGGTGAGGCTGAATTATCCAAGAAGCAGCCAATAGGGGAGAAGAAGGGTCTTCAACTGATGCTTAAATAGATCCAAGTCTCTTTCGTGTCCTTCTGTTAAGGGCAGGTGTTCTTTCTTGGGCTTAAAAGGGATTCCTGAAATTATATGCACACACATATATATATAGATAGCATATATATAGCATATATATTGCATATAATATATAACATATATTATATATATATATAAAAACTTTTTTTTGAGATGGAGTCTCCCTCTGTTGCTGGGGCTGGAGTGCAGTGGTGCGATCTTGGCTCACTGCAATGTTCACCTCCCGGGTTCAAGCGATTCTCCTGCTTTAGCCTCCCAAGTAGCTGGGATTACAGGTGTCTGCCACCACATCCAGCTAATTTTTGTATTTTTAGTAGAGACAAGGATTCACTATGTTGGTCAGGCTGGTCTCGAACTCCCGACCTCAGGTGATCCACCCACCTCAGCCTCCCAAAGCGCTGGAATTACAAACATAAGCCATTGTGCGCAGCCAGATATATATATTTGAGGCAGGATCTTGCTCTGTCACCCAGGCTAGAGTACAGTGGTGCAATCACAGCTCACTGCAGCCTCACCTTTCTAGGTTCAGGTGATCCTCCCACCTCAGCCACCCAGGTAGCTAGTACTACTGGCACGTGCCATCATGCCCAGCTAATGTTTTTTTTTGTTTTTGTTTTTGTTTTTGAGATGGGTTTTCCCATGTTGCCCAGGCTCGTCTCATAACCCTTAGACTCAAGTGATTCACCTGCCTCAGCCTGGGATTCAGGCATGTGCTGTAATTACATGTGCTGGGAATTACAGGCATGAACCAGTGCGCCCGGACAATTTTTTTGGAGCAGGGGGTTGGGGGACAAAAGGTCCACACGTCTGGGCACAGTGGCTCACGCCTGTAATCTCAGCACTTTGTGAGGCTCAGACGGGTGTATTGCTTGAGCCCAAGAGTTCGAGACCAGCCTGGGCAACACAGGGAGTCCCTGTCTCTACAAAAAATACAAAAAAAAAAATATACTTTTGAGAAAATGGTCCAGGCAGAGGGAACAGCATTCTCAAGGGCTATGAGGAAGCTCTTTTGAAAAGCCCAGAATACTGGTATGGCCAAGTGTATAAGCAAAGCAAAAGGTCATGGGCAATGAGGTCAAAGCGACGGCAGGAATGAGATCACATGGGCTTTCGAGGCTGTGATAAAGGAGCTGGATGTTAAGTGCCATGAGAAACTATTGAAGGATTTGGGGAGTGATTACTTCCATTGAAATCTCAGCTCATCCATGCTTATAAACAGTGGATGATTAACTAGTGTCCTGGACTTGGTAATCACTCGGGAAATATTACCTATTACTTAAACCTTGCATCCCCTAGAATGGATGTTTAATCTATTCATGACTGAACTTTTCTCCCTTTCTCTACCTATAAACCCCCAGGCCTCCAGCCTTAGAAGAGTGAGAGAGGG